AAGATAATATTATAATATAATACTAATTCAATTAAATATAATTTAAATTCGAAAAGATTATAAAAGAAATTTATGTTATAATTTATAAATATAATATATACAATCATTTCAATAAAGTAAATATACATAATTTCTGTAATTATAAGACATATATATATATATTAATATTTATCATTTTTTATATGCTCTATTATTTTTTAAATAAATTTTAATAAAATATAACTTAAATATTAAAATTTATAATTCTTAAACATATTTATATTTATATTAAAATGAAAACTTAATATATACCATTAGTTTATTTGTCATATTATTTGTGAAATAGTATTATAATAATTTATTAAAAAATAAAAATTGATGTTATAACTTATGACTAATATATATATAATGTATTAGAATACATATAAATAAGTAAAATAAAATAATTTATTTTAGTTTTATATATAATCATTCACAACTCAACCAATCAGCTAAATGTGTATATTAATCAGAGTATACTGCTCCAGCTGCTTACTGCTAATGTTGCATTATGCTATTGCTCATAAAAAAAGCTATACCAATTACGGTCTTAATATGGAGCCATAGGAGCAACATGAAACTAACCGCAAGAACGCGAAAAACGTCAGGAAATGGCTCGATAACAAATTTCTCAAGGTGAAACATCATATCATTATCTAAAACAAACATATCTTCCTCAAGCTAACAAGTGGAGATGAATATCTTTTAGCATCGCTTGTTCTCGTTTTCTTAGTTTCGTCTTCAAGATTCTTCGATCTATCGTGCAAAGAATCCTTATCGAGTAACAACGTTTCCTCAACTAGTTCTGAAAGTTTATGTAGTAATCTCTTTTTCTCTTTAAGAGACTTTAACCCATAAAACAAGAATTACATCACCAAAGTGGATGCAACTTCGTTCTTGATGAAGAATTGTTTCACAACTAGTTTTAGAATCACATCCATTTTCACTCGAGACATCTCGAGCTTTGACTTTTGGTCCATCCCTAGCCAAAAAACATATAAGCTGCACCGGAAATT